GAGGGATAATTCAGTCTTGGCCCATATGGAGGTGTCTAATTATATAGTTTGTAATTAAAAATCTATTTTAAATAAAACAATAGAATGGTTTTGTACGTGTTTTCATTACTATTTAAGGAGATAAAAGCACATAAAAAGGAAGTGTGTCCGTTAAGACTTCCTGAGAGAAATAAATATTCCTCTTCAAAATGAAAAAAAATTAGCAGAAATTTGTGACATAATGAAGTGTGGAGGAAACACTTTAACAATCTGAAATGATGATGAAACCAATGTAATTATCTAACGGCATATTATAGAGATTGTTGGTAAAGTTTCATTTTCCGTTTGTTGAAATATGTTAAATTTTCCGGGGTCGTAAATTAATTAATGTTAAAGCAAGGTGTAGCGTTCGTAACACATGGCGTCCGTCTAAAATTGAACAATGATTTGTCATAATGGTCTGGAAGGAGTTATAGTAGAAGTGTGCGCAACTACATCGATAAATCATCGTGGGTTTCAAAGAAGTATTTTAGTGACACTACCGTAAACATGTACTGCTCGTGTACATAGAAAATCAGTTTTTGAAAATCGGTTGTAAAATTGTCGTCTGCTCCGGTACGAATACACCTTCGACGAATAAACCAATTTGAAAAGTTGTTGTTCCAAAATAACCGATCTGTACGTCGCTGATAGGTGGCATTTTCCACCAGAATCAGCATCACACATGCGCATGTTACCGGAAACCGAGTTTCGATCTGTACGTTTATAACGTCCCACGTGGTTCACAGCCGGATACGAACGCAACACGATAAGTATTATGTACATTTGCATTGTATTTCCAGCGAAATAAACGATTCTTAAACAAATTTAATTGCAATTATCAAATGAATATATACCAGGCTTAAGTTAACAGTGATATTTAGACATGTCACTGCCTCGATTGAACGCTTTCATCATTTTTCCTCCGAGTGTCTGTCCCAATCGTCAGGCCAAGCGGAACGTTCAATTTTACCGATATAAACAGTTTTTGATAGCGATTCACAGTTGGTTTAAAATAGTGAAGAATGATTTGTTCTTGACATTTCTACAGGGTTTAAATTCTGGTTCGTGTTTTATACACTTTTTCGATAAAGTGTGTTGTTCGTAGCAATAGTCACCGCATGTTTGCACTAATCGTATTCTCTCATTACGAACAAAACAAAACTTTTTTTTAATTATTACACTGAAAATATTACTCCATGAAATGTACAAGTAATTCTAAAATGCAAATAATATCATGAATACTGAAAGTTATTTGAATAGAGCTCTTATAACACTTGTAAATATTCTGTTTTATGTTCGAAACGACGTACACATAGTTTTCAACACAGTAATTCCATCAAATGTTTTTGGACAGTTAGCGGTCCCAAATATAGAGTCAATGGGAACTCGCATTTTATACAAATTTCCTGGTAAGTGTTGAGGTCATATTTTTGAATGAGAGTAATATTTATATACAATGAAATGAAATATTGGAAAGTGGTCGCTTCCTAAGACACGACGATGTCTGAGGAAGCGACCACTTTCCAATATTTCGAAGGAATTGTGGATCCATGGACAGCGGTCATGTACCCCATTGGAAATTATTTAAAGCAGATTGGAGTAAATTTGAACATCTCAGTACTAAAATTCTCAAAACCATTGATTTCCTGAATTTAGAAGACCCGGTAGAATCTTTTACTACCGAACTTCTTGAGATAGTCGAAGAATGTATAACAAAATCCAAACGAAAACGCAATAAAAAAACCTTGGATTAATGAAGATTGTGATAAAGCTATACTGATAAAGGAAAACCGCTGAGGTAATTAAAATACAACCCCACAATGAAACTTACAATCAACCTTTCTAAATGTTAGAACTTTGAGAATCGTTGAAAAAATCACATGACTCTGCAACAGAACCTGATGATATTCACTATCAGTTCCTAAAACATCTACCAGAGTCATCATTAGAAAAACTTCTAGATATTTTTAACTATATTTTTAGATCGGGAAATGTCCCAAAGTCATGGAAAATGGCAGTTGTGTTTCCTGTCCCCAAACAGGGTAAATATACAGCAGATCCCTCCAGTTACCGACCAATATCACTTACGAGTTGCGTTTGTAAAATTCTAAAGAGGATGAAAAATTCAAGATTAATTTGGTATCTGGAATCCAATCGCATAATATCACCTCTACAAAGCGGTTTTAGATCTAAGCGAGGTACCAATGATCATTTGGTTAGACATGAAACCTTTTGTGTGTGAGGCTTTTCTAAAGAAGGAGCACTTATTTGCTGTTTTCTTCGATTTGGAAAAGGCTTACGGCACAACGTGGAAATACGGCATAATAAAAGATCTGCACGATATAGGTATTAAAGGTAATCTACCAATTCTTATTTCAAATTTTCTATCAGATAGATAGATAGAAGTCAGGAATGGAATGACACTTTCCGATATCCATCAGCAGAAAATGGATGTACGACAAGGTAGCATTCTTTCGGCTACACTTTTTGGACTTAACCGTATTGTCAAAACAATATCCCCATCAATGGAGGGCGCTATTTATGTCAATGACTTCATCATATGCTATCGGTCTAAGCATATGAATACCATCGGAAGAAAACTACAACAATGTTTGAATCGACTACAAATTTGCGCAGATGTAAGTGGTTTTAAATTTTGACAATCAAAAACAGAATGCATTTTTGTCACATTCGGAAACAACACGACGATCCAAATCTGTCTCTCTGTGGTGTACCCATTCCGGTTGTTGAGCAAACATAACTTTTAGGTGTAATATGCGACAGGAAATTGTCGTTCCTTCTACACATAAAATACCTTAAAGCCAAATGCTTTATGACAGTGAATATTCTAAAGGTTGTGTCCCACACTGATTGGGGAGCCGATATAAAAGTTTTGCTAAAACTCTATAGAGCCCTTATGAGATCAACATTGGACTACGGTTCATCGTTTATGGATGTGCTAGACCTTCATACTTAAACTTATTAGACACTGTTCATCACCAAGGTCTGTTCATCACCAAGGTCTCAGACTCGCTCTCGGAGCTTTTAAGACCACACCTAAAGCAAGCCTCTATGTAGAGGCTAACGAACCACTATATAGCCGTCGAAATCAATTGGGTTTGCAATACTCCATTCAGCAAAGGTCAAATCCTTCAAATCCTGCTTTTCCCCCTGTATTTGATCCAAAATATTAAACCTTGTTTCAAGGCTAAACCAAAAACCATTCCATCATTCGGTATTCGAATCTCCGCTCTTTTACAAAACACAGATATTGATGTTAACCAAATTCAGTCATCTGGAACGAAAGAAATTCATCCCTGGCTCATTAATCACCTCAAGTTGACTTTCTACTTCATGAAATGGTTAAATCAGATACACACACTTACACCTTTCGTTTATTCTTCCCGAAATTGTTGTTAAAATATTAAACATTTCTACATTTATATACTGATGGTTCAAAAGATAATGATAAGGTTCCTGCGGCCATAGTTATACAAGATGAAACCTATGGATACCGATTTTAAACCATTTATTAAACAGATTTAGATTTCAGTGGCAGGAGGATTGAAATACCTATACCAATAACAAATTGCACTCTGTTAAACCTGTTATCGGTGAATGGTATCCAGGCTATAGAGACAACCACCCAGACGAGGTTGTCCTTACCCGTCTTGGATGTCTAAAATTCCTTTTTGAAACTGTTGATATTTGTAAAATTCTACATTACCTGAAAGATGTTGGTCTATATTATAGACTATGATGTACCATTTTAATCTTTTGTGTTAACATACCCATTTAAGAGTTTTAACATTTGTCTTTTACCTTTTGGTTTGTTTAATGTTATTTCCTTTTGGATCGCTGTGTGTTTTACCGTTTGATAGCCCTAATAAACTTTTATGTATTGACAGGTCATTAAGAATGTAATAATAATAACAATAATAAAATAATAACCTTTCGCCATGTTGTTATCGAAATGGATCATTTCAATGATGGGTCTAAAACGTGGACCCGCAGTTAAAGAGTATACCACCTCCATCACTATAGTCTGAAGTTTTCATTAGATCATATAAGAATCAACGACATAACACTTGATTAAACTCTCGCCTATTGTGCCGTTCTTGTACTTAGCGCTACCCGATCGATGCTTTCAAAAATAAACGAAGGCTAGCTTGCATCTATTTGGCAATAACTTGGGGAACAATCTTGCTTTCAAGTAGTATTTGTGTTATATACAAGGAAACTATCGCGAATGTTGTCGACTTGAAAATATTTTATTGACCTATTTCTCTCGAGAGCTATCGCAACAATCGATTAGTCGACATATTGTTACACCACTACCGAATATCGCATGCAAAGCTCTCTGTGGTCCCAAGTATTCTTTTTCCGATTGTATCACATCCCTTTTTTATCTTTAGGACGACTGGACATATCTGAAAATGGGTTGTACGTGTGTACTGCTAGAAGTGATGTCAGAGTTCTTCAAACATCACATTATCGATGTTGTAAATTATAATTATGATCGTAGCTCTATATTGTTTAACATACGTCTCTCGTTGTTTACTCTTCAGCACTTGAGTTTCAGTAGTGTCTTCACAGGGAAACAGATACTGTGTACTACCTACCGCCTTAGTCACATACCAATATCCCTACGATAATGAGATTTAGACTCAATATTCAAATGTGCTGTCCGATGTTCCCAAAGTTTAAATAGTGAATTTCACTTGATTGTTTGAGTATAGTCACGCATGATCCTTACTCAATCTGTCTTTATAAGAGCTCTTAAGATCTTAAGCTACATCTGGAGATCCTCTCAACATAAATGGAGGCGGTTTTGTTTCCTTTGGTGTCATCTAGGGGCGGCCATTCCATTAGCGTTTAATTTGCGATTTCAATCTTTCCTAGAAAATCGTGTACAAAGTAACTTACAAGTCCTATTCAGGTGCAAGAAAACAATTTCATTTTCATTTTTAATGCAACAGTAAGAGCTCAACCTCCAACAATTACACCGATTCCATTAAAAGATGTTTACTACGAAGGCGAAAATGTGACACTGATTTGTTTCGCCGATGGTAACCCTCCAGTCACCTATTCATGGACTAGGAATAACTCCCCAGTTAGCGGATCCTCTCGACTCCATCTGATAGACATCCGTATTGAGCAATCGGGAGTATACGTCTGCGAGGGCACCAACTTTTTTGAAGGGAACATATTCAAACAGTCGCGGTCAGTTAACATAACAATAGGTAATGTACCACAACATAGCAAGATATCAGTGTTCATTGTGTTTTTAAAAAGTCTAGCATTGTTCCAAAATTTATACGAAATGTTTACAAAAATCTCTTTTTACTTCAATGTAAATGTCATTGTGAATTATTGTGGTGCGGCGTCTATCGTCTGGTATTAATTATTCCTTCAAGCGACTTATAAAAAAGCAGATCACGTGTTACCATATTTGACTTGTAGCTTCCTCGGGTGAAGCCCGACAGATATGGTGAAATAACCTTGCCCGCATTCAAGGTCATTAGGACCTAATTTGTTAAAATAGTCGTTCATTTCATTCACCATACTTTAATGTCAATGATTTGTATTTGATGTGTGCGATGCAGGCCTTAGGCCTTATGTTTGCTTTAGTTTTAACAAATTACTTAAGCATAATTCGAACGTAGTGTGGATGACAAAATACTAGCAAGGTACGATGTTTAACAAAAAAGCTAGAATATAACTACGATAAAGTATAATTTGATATTTTTCCTGAACGATGGCAATAATATATATATATATATATATATAAATAATATTTACAATATCAATTTTGAAAATGCTTATGATATTTTATGATGAAGAATTTCATTGATGCTGAGTCATTTATTTATGAATTGGAAGTGGAAAAATCCATCAAGCCTGTTCATATCAACCTTCATGTTCGCCTGGCCGAGAATGTTTTGACTTTGACTTGCTCAGTGGACGATACTTTGGATTATAAATGGTTGTTAGATGGTGTTAAAGTTGGTGCCGGATCAAAGTTAGTCCTCAGCAGCGGTGATAGTTCAGGACAGTACGTGTGTGTTGCAAAGAACACGTTCACTGGAAAGACATACCACGGGAACAGATCTGTCAACGTTAAAATAGGTAGTGTATGCATGAGTATTTTAAATTTACGGTCAATCACCCTGCATCTTGATACTCAGTGTTGTGATTTTCTAAGTTGCCGTAACCTGGCACGAAAATTACGATACTGGTAACAACAAAATTTAGTACATAAAATCAACTGCGGGGTGCAGGTGTGTTGCTATTCAGAAATGGCGAAAATTCACAAAAGGGAAATAAAAAGCATCACGCTTATTACACATTGTTTTGGAAAGCTGCCCCTGTTGGTTTCATTTGAGGAAAAGATCGAGATAAATGCCAAAGTCTGTCATATCCTTGATTTCCAATTCTGGTTGGTATATACGATGATTGTTGCCAATAGATTTCTTTATCTAAATGCAAGTCGTCAGCATTATATCTGAAAGAGAAAATGAAGAACTTTGCGAGATCTCTGTGACCTGTTTTGATAACGTGTTTGATTCTGTAGAGGGCCTCTTACGACAGGCCATACTAACCGAAACAGACAAAAGGTTATTTGCGGAATAAGAGAAATCACGGGGGATACGACTTGTAAATTTTCGGGTTCATAGTAATATCCTGATTAGAAAACATTGATGCAATCGTCCCGGATTCTCTCATGTGGTCTTTCGACATTTATTTTATATCCATCAGCATGTACATTCATCATTTGTAAAATAAAATATCTTCGGAAAATAACAAATGTTTGTTCAGGTGAAAAAGGAAAACCACAAAACTCCCTGCATCAGTGTAAGATGATAATCTCTATTTACACATTATGGAAACAACATAATGGTGATTCAGTCAATATTTAATCCTCTATTTCGACTTGTGTCTGGTCACAATTTATCATTTCAGCAGAACCAACACAAAATGAAGCTGGCAGTATCTATATAACCGGGATAGTCTTCATCTGTATAGCGGTTCCATTGCTCCTAGTTACTGTTGGACTGGGACTTTTTATCAGTCGTATGTTTATTAATCATCTATTTTCATTTGCATGATGTTAATGATATATCTGTTTTGAAAGACACATCGCATGCGATCCTTTTACCGTGTTACTACTCTCAATTTTCAAGTGACCAGCTGTTTTAAACAATTTTATGTAGAGCTGATTCGTCCGAATTTGACAAACGGATTTCATACTATTCGTGTTAGTGACTTGATAGTGAAAAATTAATCGATGTAAATAAGGCACAGCTATCTAACTGTTATATATAGAGTGAAAGCAAATATTCATTTATTCTTGATTTCGTCATCCTTCTGTTTCAGGTAACAATCGGCTACCTTGCTAGTAAGAATATAATTCCAGAACGGAGTGACGACTTTCAGTTACTCTTTTGATATTTTGGGGTATTAAACAAAGGAATGATCAAATGTAAAATGAAATAAATACACGGGAATTCACTTAAAACAGAAAGATAACTGTATCGAAAGTGCTATTCACTTGTGTGCCTTTTGAACTCCAGGTAAAACAGTGAGGACTTAAACTCCCTTAGGGTTGCCTACGTAATAATTCGTTCAGATAACGACACGGTTCAGAATATACGCATGTACTCGACATTCCTTACAAATTATCAGACATATGAACTTCCTGAAATGAATTGAATCATAGGGCTACTCATATAATTTTTGAGATCTCTTCCTATCAATATTGATTTTTCTTGGTTGCCTGTAAGAATTCAAAAGTTAGGCCATTAGCGTCAATGACGAAGAAAGTGCTGGATGATGCAATTCAGTTCATCGTTTCGCTTTACTGTATGTCATTCACTTGCACATCTTCTGTATGAAAACATATATCTATATATAGAAGCTCCATGAAACAAATAAAGAGTATCGATTCAACAATGCCCTATCAAATAAAAAAATGTATTAGATCTTATTGTAGATAAATGGAAGAACTGTTTCCAACGGTGTTGCAAACGTTTATTGTGTGTCTTTCTATGGACTTTTCAGTGTTAGAAATGAACAGGACGAAGCTGGATTGCCACGGGACGAACATCCTTCATTACCAGGTAAATATATCTATTTTGGCTGATTGAGACCTTAACGAATCTTTAAAAATACTTTCACAATAGCATGTCATCACATCTGGTCCCATTATAGCGTCAATAGGATAGGCGATGTTTGACCATCGTATTTAATTTTTTTTTTTTAATTTAATTTTTTTATTCAATATAATGTACAGGTACATAATACAACACTAGTATTTATAAATATGAAAAGCACTCTCCCAGAATAACATACACATTTTCACTTCCCTGAATGGATCTATACATGGCTATACACATACAGATGAGCTTCTCTCAAAGAATATGTGCATGTCTACTCACACATGCCTATACATATTACATGTACATGCAATACAAACATGCACCCAGGCATACACAATACACCTAATAACATATACAGGTAAAGCCATGTATGCATCGTGTACATACACCACACTCGCACCTTCAAGTTTTCACACATACAGCCACACTTATAAATCAATAAACAGGAAATCAATCAACCAAAGAATGCTAGCACGTCCCTTTGGAAATAAAAAAAAGGAAAAAAAAAAAAAAAGGTTAGCAGATCTCTTCTAAAATTATCAATGAAATACTAGTAGGTTCAGTGATCTAATATTCTGAGAGCTGTTATTGTGAGGAGGTATGGAAGTGCTACCACACATTATAATGGTTTTCTGTTTTTGGGTTTTTTTTTTTTTTTAGAAAAAAGTAAAAGAATAGATTGGAATAAGAGATATATTGACAAGTTATTAGTATTTTTTATATTATTATTATTTTGAGATATTCATTTAAACAAAGGGTTTCTACAACAGAGTAAACTAATCCAAAACATCAACAGCAAGGCAAATGAGTTGCAATTTGGAGAAAACGTTAGAAGAATAGTATGAATTAGAAGTGACAGGCTTAAGAACAGGATAGACAAAGAAGGAGTTGGAACAAGCATGAAATGGAAGGAATGTAACAGACTTACTCTTTGAGAACTTTAGTTGTTATCAAATGAGCTCAATATTGAGAATATACAAAAAAAAAAAAAAATTGAAAAGAGACAGAAGTCATCAGCCTGAAAACAGCCAAGCCTTAGGCAATATCTACTAGTTTTTTCCATTTACCCCATTCATTTGGAAAGATTTGTAAGGAAGAATTACCTTTACCAGTTGAAATAAACTTTTGGACAATATAGTTTTCTTTTATAACATTGACTAAAGCAAAGACCGATAACGTATTATGCAGAGTTCTAGTTTTATAGATATAAGATTTAATAATCAGAAGTACTTCATTATCTACTCGATTGTAGACCCCAGTATTGTTTACCAGGCCAAATAAGATTGATTCTTTATTAATAGGGAACACTATTTTAAGAGCATCCAAAAGTGTTTCAAAACTGGCATAAAATTTTTGGACTTCACTACATTCCCATAACATATGAACAATTGTCTCCCTTTCCCTATTACAAAAATTACAGTTAGGGTTGTTAGAGATACCAATATTATATGCATACAAGTTGGTTGTTAAAATAAAATGATTTATCCTGAATTGTAACCAACGAAGTCTGGTGTTTTGAGTTGATCTAAAAGCAATATTGTATATTTTTTCCACTTCTCTTTACTTAAATCAAAAATACTTCCCCATTTATGCTGCCCCAATGTTAATTTCCTTTTTAATAAGTAGTTGATAGAAGTCTTGTGATCCTTTTTTTTTCTTTAAAATTAATTCAAGACTCAACGGGATAGAGGGATACATTAACGATCCAGTTAGAGGGGTAACAGGCCTCAAGAATTTCTTTATACTTTGGATTACTCCATAGTACTGTAAATATTTAGTTACTAAACCATATACATTACAAAATTCAATAAAATCGTAAAATAAAAATTCTCTAGAGTCCTGTAATAAATCATTTACTACTCTCACTCCTGCATTATACCATTTTTCATAAAAAAATTGGTTTGTTATTTATGTCAAAGTTTTTATTAAACCAAGGAGGCACTTTAAGTATGGACTCAACATCATTTCTGAAGAGTTCTTCTTTCACTCTAAATTTATACCAAGCCTGAAAAACGTTTTCCCAAAAAATATTTTTACATCTAGTTTTTGCAATGAGTAAATACTCCCTCCCACAATTAGCTAAAATCTGAATATTCACATTTTCTTTCCAAATCACTAGCCACTTACTAGAAGATCTGAAAATTCTTCTGATCCAACCAAGTTTGAGAGCATCTATGTATGTATCAATCTGTAACATCTTCAGGCCTACTTCCATGTAATTTTGTACAATAACATTTCTTTTAACCATGTCTGTTTTACCGCCCCAAAGATAATTAAAAAGAATTAAATTAAGTTTTTTTATGAAAGTTTCATCAGGGTTGGGAAGTGATATAAAAAGATGATTGAACAGGGAGATCAATAGAGATTTAATTTTGCTTATTTTCCAAATAGGAGTGACAGATCTACGGCTCCAACATTTGATAAGAGATTTGAGTTTGACAAGTTTCTTGTCATAATTAAGTTTAGCAATTTTAAACAAATCAACATGGAATTCAATACCTAGGAGTGAGAAATGTTCCACTCCCCAATTTAAATTTAAATTTGGCAAAAATACATCCTTACTATATTTTTTGCTCCCCATCCATACAATCTGTGTTTTACCTATGTTGATTTTAAGACCTGAGATTTCTTTGTATATAGTTAGTTCCTTGATGGATTCTTTGAGAGAGCATTCTGATCCATCTAAGATAAGGGAAGTGTCATCCGCATATTGCGAAAGAAGAATTGGGCAATTATTAATCTCTATACCCTTAATACTTTTCTTGTTTCTAATACGTATTGCTAAAATTTCTGCACAAAGGATAAACAGGTAAGGTGCTATTGGGTCGCCTTGACGACAACCACGCTTTATCTAAAAACATCTGACAAATTCCCCTCTTGATTTATGGCCGAATTAGCCTTACTATGCAAAATTTGTACCCATTTCCTCATGTCATGACCAAACTTAAAAAAATCTAGAACTTCATCAATAAATTTCCATGAAACCGAATCAAACGCCTTTTCGAAGTCAATCATCAAAAGCATTCCAGGAATATTACAATCCTCCGCGTATTGCATAATATCAAAAATAAGTCTAGAATTTTCTCCCAAATATCTCCCCGACAGAAACCCTGGTCTTCATCTATTAGTTTTCCTAGTAATGGTTTAACTCTATTAGCAATGGAACCTGAAGCTATTTTATACACAGTATTTAGAAGAGAAATTGGTCGCCAATTCTTTATAAAATGTCTAGGTTTGTCCCCCTTGGGTAGACAAGTGATTATGCCCTGTCTCTGAGTAACAGACAACTGATTGTTTTTAAAACCATAATTAATTGACCTAACTACAAAGTTCCCCAAATCTTTCCAAAGATTTAAAAAAAATTCCACTGTATACCCATCAGAACCAGGGTTTTTATTGTTTTTCATGTTTTTAAGAGTATCAGAAGCTTCCCTAAGAGTTATAAGACCTTCCAAGCTTTCAGATTCTACTTTACTTAATTTTGGAACATGGTAATTTTTCAAAACTTTATCTAAATATGCATCTTTTATATCTTTGTCTTCACTATATAAATGCTCATAAAAAGACTTCACTTCCCTTAAAATATCCTCTTGTTCAGTTACTATTTCTCCATTATCCAATTCTAATTTGGGAATTATTTTTGATGTGTAATTTCTATTTTCTAAATTTAAAAAATAGCTAGAAGGTTTTCCCCATCTTCAACCCACCTGGCCCTTGAGCGAATGACACTTCCCTTAATCTTATGTTGTCTAATATCTTCCAATTCCTTTTTTTTCATATTTAGTACATCTAAATTTACATTATTCTTCTGCTCAAGTGATTTAATTTCTTTTTTAATACATTCCTCCTTTAAGTTCTGTTGTTTCTTCTTATGAGTAGAGTACGAAATAGATTTTCCTCTAATTTCCATCAGTAAAGTTTCTAAAAACAACTGGTCATGAATAACAAAATCTAAATCATCGCATCTAGGATTTTTTTACATAGTCTGGATGGTATACAGGGAGGCAATACTGCAGTTTAATATTCATTATCGTATCATTGATAAGCTTTATATAATCTTGATCGTAAAGTAATGAGTTGTTGAATTTCCATAGGCCTTTGCCCTTTTTAAAATAATTATATTTTAGCGTAATAGTTGGAAATGAATGATCAGACCTATAGCCAGGTTCAATGCCTGTTTCATATGTACTAGGCAGGAGGCTACCAGCTACCAGAAAAAAATCTAAACGAGCCTGTTTTACAGGGTTGCTCCTCCTCCATGTATACCGCCTGGAATCAGAATGCTGCTCTCTAAAGACATCAATTAAATCAAAATTTTCCATAATCTCTAGTATTTTTTCTCTGGACTTTGGATTGTTTACCCTTTTGTAAGATTTGTCATAATCTAGCTCGGGATTCAGGATCAGGTTGAAGTCGCCACATACTATACACTTATCGGTCTTAAACTCATACATTGTTTCCTCTATCAACTCAAAAAAAGAAGGATCATCATTATTAGGACCATAAATAGACATTACTGTCAAATTAGTACCCTCAATTTCTAAGTTAAGTGCTAAAAAGTTCCCATATATATCTCTTTTCTCTTTAATTACTTTTACTTCAAAATTATTGTTAAATAGAATAGCAACACCCCTAGCGTTTGATTTAAAAGAACTAAAGTAGCAGGAATAGCCCTATTCATTTCTTATTAATTCCTCATTATTATTTGTAAAGTGTGTGTCTTGGAGACAATACAGATTAAATATTTTACTTCTTAGATATGCGAATACATCTTTACGTTTCATTTTGTCACCTAAACCCTGACAATTGGCTGATAAGAACTTTACCCCTTCACCTATACTTAATGTTTAACTTATTAGATTTTCCTTCCATGGATGCTTGGGTGAGAAGAAAGAAGATAGCCAAAGGGTATATTAACACAACAGAAGAAATAGAGAAAGGCTGTAGGGGATAGAAACAGA